GGAATGCTGAAATGATTTGGGGGTGGTACTGGTGAAAGTTGTCGGCTTGAGGTGAACGATAAGGACTGTGAGATGTCTGTGGGGTGGTCTGTTGATTTAGTGATGGTAAGTCCGAGGGTGAGTAGGACGTCTTTGGGGTGAGTTTGTGCTCTATGGGGTAAGTGGTGGGCGGTTTGGGGTGTGCGTGATGAGATCCCGGGATGAGTGAGAGGACATTTGTAGGGTGAGTCGTGGGGGTCTGTGGGAGAGCATTCAGGGCGTCCTTGGCGCTCTGTGGGGTGGATGATGGGGGATGCGTGACCAGGAGTCTATGGGGGTAAGCATCAGGGCATCTAGCGGTATCTGTGGCGTGAATGATGGGATCAGTGGGCTTAGTGGAATGTTCGTGGGGTGTGTAGGGGCTCTGGGATGAATGAAGGGGGTGGTCTGGGGGGCGAGTGGAGGGACATCTGTGTGATGAATGATGAAGGTGTCTGGGATGAGTAGTGATAGGGGCTCGTGGGTGAGTAGGGGGCTATGTAGAGTGAGATTTAGAGACATCTATGGGATGACTAAGGAGCTTTGGTAGCGTAGTGGTTACGAATCGGGCTGCGAACCGAAAGGTCAGCAGTTCTAAACCACCAGCTGCTCCGCGGGAGAAAGATGAGGCTTTCTGCTGCCGTAAAGATTTACAGCCTCGGAAACCCTGTTCAGGGTCGCTGTGGGTCCGAACCGACTCGATGACACTTAACAACAATGTGGGATTACTTGGAATCCTGATGTGGCGCTGTGGGTTAATGCACCAGATGCAAAGCCGTTTGAACTGCAACGTCAGTGGTTCAAGCTCACCAGCTGCTCCTCGGATACCCTATACAGGGTCTCTATGGGTCGGAATAAGGAGCTCTGGCAGCACAGTGATTACGAATCGGGCTGTTAATCTCACGGTCAGCAGTTCGAAACTACCAGCTGTTCCATGGGAGAAAGATGAGGCTTTCTGCTCCCGTAAAGATTTACAGACTCGGAAACCCTGAGCAGGGTCCCTATGGGTCGGAACCGACTCCACAGCACATAACAACAACGACAATGGGTCGGAATCGACTCGATAACGCTTAACAACAACAACGGTGGGATGACTTGGGAAGTCTCTAGATCCAGGGAGTGATTAGGTCTTTGGCTGAGTTATGGCAGCTGGCAAGGTCAGTGATGGTACGGTTGTGGGGTGTGGGTAATAGAAGGTCTGGACTATAGGATGAGTGGTATTTTCAAAATTAAATTGATGTTTTGATTCATGACTCCTCAGCGTCCCCTTTGTGTGTTTTATGTGAGGTCGGCCCAGGACTGGGCGGTGTTTCCTTCGTTGTGTATGGGGTCGCTATGAGTCAGTACAGACTCCATGGCACGTTAACAACAACTGCATACGTATTTTGGCGTCCTTGTGAAAGCTAGATGCCTTGTGGTTGGTTAGCAGCCCAGTGCTGATTGTCCAGTGCCTCAACAGCGCTCCGACTTTACCTCTAGGCCTAGGGAATCAGTGATGGAGGAGAATCGTGAGTCCGACCGCACTGCTTTCTGGGTGGTGAGGGAGTGTTGCAGTCTGGGTTGGCCACTGTCTGGTTCTGTGTGGGACGTAGTGATTGACAGTTGAGTAGATCAGTGATGGTTTTCCAGTTACAGTGCATTACTTGATGCTTTGGGGACCTGTGGAAAGTGGCTAACAGCACCCCCTAGAACACTGTATCATGCCAGTGAGTGGGGGACAATATTTCAGAATCCTCTGGCAATCTTGTGGTCCATTCCTTAGGGTTTTCTAAAGGTCAGTACTGTCAGTGACTGAATTTTCATCTGGAGCGGGGGGAGCCCATTATAGACAGACTAGATAGATACAGTAAGTGATGGGGTCGGGGGACATGGTATAGATCTGCAGGTTGTTCTGTGTGGCCATTGCAACAAAGTATCAAACCCAGTGGAGAGTAGAGAGTGCCAAGGAAGGGATGTCTGAAGGTTGTTGTTGTTGTTAGGGGCCATCGAGACGGTGCTGACTCATAGCGATCCTATGTACAACAGAAGGAAGCACTGCCCGATCCTGGGCCAACCTCATAATTGTTGCCATACTTTTTCCCAATCCATCTCGCTGGGGATCTTCCTCTTTTTCGCTGACCCTCCAACTTACCAAACATGATATCCTTCTCCAGCAACTGGTCCTTCCTGACAATATGTCTGAAGTATGAGAGACGAAGTTTGGCCATCCTGGTCTCCAAGGAGCACTCTGGCTGCACTTCTTCCAACACAGATCTGTTGGTTCTTTATGGTGGTTAAAGAAAATGGTGAAGGGTAGAGGTATGAGACGGTTTCAAAATATTCATGGAAAAATTCCATTATCTTTTAATTCCATTTTTCCATGAACTTTTTGAAGCCCCTTCAAGGCTCAGCCTTGGTCTGATGTTGATACTGATTCTCTCTTGCCCTTCATGAAGTTAGATGAGATGTGGTGCCACCATACAGTTTTAACACAGTGACACCGGTCAACAGGGTCGTGTGGAGAATGTGAAAATAAAAGTGATAAAGTGATGCATGTATCTCATCAAGTTTTACCCTGAGTCTGAGCCCTTCCACCCTAATCCCTAGCTATTCCCATTCTAGAGAGAAGTGTGCACATAGAACGATGACACCCCTTCATTGGTCCTTGGTGGTCATGCAGTAGTTAGCTGGACCCTTTTAGAAGCACCCTGCCAGGCTTTTCTTCTGAGACACCTCGGGTTGGGTCAAACTGCCAACCTTCCAGCTAGGGGTCAAGCACTTAACCAATTGTGCTACCTAAGGAAGACCCCACCTCTCTTTTGTCACTTTGCCATACTGTGGCGATTTGGTGGTTGTGTGAGTCCAGCTCACCACCAGAGCAGCAGAGACGACGCAGTTTAGAAAGAAAACACAGACACAAGTTAGGAATTAAGGGAGACCACAAGACTCATGACCTCTAGGATCAAGAGCCCAGCAGAACTCATGATCTCTGGGATCAAGAGCCCCGAGACATGGCGGCACTCCGTATTTATTACCCTCCAGCCTTTTCATCCCTCCAGGATGCCGTCCATCACTGATATCAAAGAGGTCTTTTGACATTATACAGATTAAGGAAATGTTCTTAGGGGAGAGACAAACAAGACTATAATTCAGGGATGCATGAGTGGGTTTCAAGAGAGAACAATGCAGGGTGTCGGTTATCACATCTGGTCATCGCGTACCAATGCGACTTTCTGTCATGGCACTAGTATCAAGGAGCAGCTTTCTGCTTCCTTTCTGCTTCCTTATGCCACGGCCCAAGGAGCTCTGGTAGCGTAGTGGTTACGAATTGGGCTGCGAACCTTAAGGCCAGCGGTTCGAAACTACCAGCCGCTCCGCGGGAGAAAGATGAGGCTTTCTACTCCCGTAAAGATTTACACCCTCGGAAACCCTGTACAGGGTCGCTATGGGTCGGAACCGACTCGATGGCACTTCACATGCCACGGCCCAGATGTGACTCCCTTCCTCCTGCATCTGTCTTTGGTGGTCTCCAACAGGTGGTGCTATGATTCTGGAAGCTATGGGTCACCCACAGTGGACAGGTTTCAGATGAGCTTTTAGACTAAGACAGACTAGGAAGAAGGAGAGACAGACTACTTCGGAATATTCAGTCACTGAAAACGTTATGAATAGCAGTGGAACACTGTCAGCACCAGAATACTGAAACATGATGAAGAGCACCAGAATATTGTCAGGTACAGTGCTGGAAAATGAGCCCCTCAGGTTGGAAGGTGCTCAAAATACGACTGGGGAAGAGCTGCCTCCTCAAAGTAGAGTTGACCATGATGATGTGAATGGAGTAAAGCTTTGGAGACTTTCATTTGCTGATGGGGCACAACTCAAAATGAGGAGAAACAGCTGTAAACATCCATTAATAATCAGAACATGGAATGGACAAAGTATGAATCTAGGAAAATTGGAAATTGTCAAAAATGAAATGGAACACATACATATCGATATTGTAGGCATTAGTGAGCCAAAATACACTGGTTGTGGCCATTTTTAATCTGACAACCACTTGGTTTACTATGCCAGGAATGACAGATTGAAGAGGAGCGGCATTCATTATCAAAAAGAACATTTCAAGATCAATCATGAAGCACAGTGCGGTCTGTGATAAGATACTATTCATGAGCCTCCAGGGAAGACCAGTTAATGCCACTATTATTCAGATTTATGCACCAACCACTAAGGAGTCTTCCTCTAATCCTGATGTCATGTTCTTCATATAATCCAGTTTCTTGGATTATTTGCTCAGCACACAGATTGAATTTTTTGTCAGGTCCCATCAAGTTGGTTCTGACTGAGATCCACCCTGTATAGGGTTTGCGAGGAGCAGCTGGTGAATTTAAACCACCAACCTTGCGGTTCAGTGCTTATCCTACAGTGCCACAAAGACTCCACAGAGAATAGATGTGGTGAAAGGTTACTACCTTGGCAAGCACCTTTCCTGATTTAAAACCATTTAGTATCTCATTGTTCTGTTCTAATGACCACCTCTTGGTCTATGTACAGGTTCCTTATGAGCATAATTAATTCTGAGACTTATTTCCCATATTCTTGTCACTGAGGTAGCATTGCTATAGATTTAACCTTCATTTAGTCCAAATTTCATAGTCTTTCTGTTTTTAAACCCTGATAACTAGAGCTGAAGTTTTCTGACCCTTGTATGTTTCACATCTGCAGTGTTGAGTATAATGACCTTGACCTAAAGGCATCAAGGAATTAACAAATGTTGAATGACTGACCACGTGGCCAGTGCCTTTCCAAAGCTATCAGTAGAGCCTTCGTGTCTCAGGAGAGCCCCTGGGCCTGGCCACACTGTTGAGGCTCCAGGATCTCCTTTCTTAGCCCAGCCTGCCTCTCCCCAGCAGGTCTGATTGAAGCCTCCAGATGCCCATCCAGCTTCAGGATCCTGGGAAATTTGCCAGCAGGGAGGGCAGATGTTGACGTCGAGAGCAACCATGCCTTCTGGTGACAATTTGCCACGGACGCCACAGGTCCTAGGTCTAGAGGAGCAGGACCGATCATGTAAGGTAAGCAAGTCCTAGGAACCAGCATTCAGGACTAAAGGGCAGACGACACATGAACATTCTGGACTCCATGCCTCTGAAATCATCTTGATCCTCTGGCTTAGTATAAATGAACTGAGGCTAATGTCTCCACACCCAGAGACCCCAGTGTTACAGCAAGAAACTGTGAAGGAGTTGGTGATGGCTGACAAGGGGTCTTGGCTCTCTGCAGGAAGCTGCATGGCTGATGTTGGGGAGAAGCCTCCCGCCACAGGCAGGGAAATGGTAGGCCCTCCCCTGCTCACCAAAGGCTCAGCTCTTTCACCAGCCATTGTGTACTTGCTAATTCTTATCTGATCCTCTCAAGACCCCTCCTACTTGGTCTTTGGGAGATTAGCTCATTGCTCCATTATCCTGAAAAGGTCCAGAAAATTTCCCTTTCTTCATAGTTTATAGAGTCACGAGGAATAGAGGAAGAACAGATTTTTAAGGGCCTCATGGTTTTTCCTATTTAAAAGAAGAATAAAAATGTCCAGGAATACCGTTTCCAAATTGCCAACAAATATTAACATTTGACATTGAGACTTCTCAATTCCAATTTAAATCTCACCAGCTCTCAGGAGACCAACTTTCGACTCTCAAGCAGAATTTGATTTTCCCTCAGTTGGACTTACAGCGTGGTCTGTTCTGCATGTGTTTCTACCTCTAGCTGAACTTGTATTCCGTTCCATGTCTTCAAGTTGCTGGTAGGGTAGAAGTTTATATAATTCTGTGGCAAGTCCCCAGGACTGGAAATAGTGTCTGGCATGTAGTCCTGTTGTGGCGCTGTGGGTTAATGTGCAAGACTGCAAAGCCGTTTGAACTGCAAGGTCGGCAGTTCAAGCTCACCAGCTGCTCCTAGGAAACCCTATAAAGGATCACTATGGGTCGGAACCGACTCGACGGCACTTAACAACAACAACATGTAGTTACTTAATAAGTCTAATGTGGGTTATTTCTAAGTTAGCTGAAGGACTTAGAAGCTATTTCAGTCCTCACTTTTGGTGAAAGAATGCCCAGGGGAACACAGTAATCACTGACTAGCAGGATATTTCTCTAAGTAATTTTGCATTTGATCGTGAAAAGTATAAGGTGAAACAGATATTTCATGAGAAATCTGTGTGCTACAGAGGGCACGGGTGTTCAGTGGTGTAATTTTCACTTTCCACCTGCGGGAGACCTGGGTTTGATTTCTAGCCAATGAACCTCGTGGGCTGCCACCTCCATGCAGGTTTCTGTGGAGTTTCCCGACCATGATAGACTAGGAAGAACTGGCTGGTGATCTTCTTTAGAAAACCAGGGAACGCGCTATGGATCACAGTGATCCCTGGCTGGTCACGGGCAGCGTTTCATTCTGTTGTGCACGAGGCTGCCGTGGTGAGATGAGCGTTGACTCAGCACCAGCTCAGAGCGACACCTGTGGGACACATCATGGTACGAAGGTATTAGAAACACCTCCCTGTATGTAAGCGCCCCTTCGGCCAGTGACAGCTAGTGTATCTAGAGCAGGATTGTGTTTTTTCAGGGACCACCAGTGTCGTTTGAGGATGTGGCTGTGGACTTCAGCAGGGAGGAGTGGCAACAGCTGGACCCTGCTCAGAGACAGCTGTACCAGGAAGTGATGATGGAGAACTACAGCCACTTCCTGTCCATGGGTGAGCACTGTTGACCTGGGAATGCTGGGTGGCCTCACTGAGGCTTCCTTCCTCCTTGTGGAATACATCTAGGACATGTCAAATAGGTCAATGTTTTGTCCTAGATTGTGTATTGCTTTTGGACTCCCTTGTTCCCAGTGAAGGGTGTCGACTTTTTTGATAAACAAATGGAAAGTGTGATTGAATGGCCTCTGTGAAAACGCATGATGTTATACCCAAGTGTGGCATCTTTGTTCATTAACAGGGTATGACCTTCCCAAACCCGAGCTCATCTTCAGGCTGGATAGAGAGAAGGAGCCATGGATGGTTGAGGTTGGCCTCCCACCTTGGAGCTATCCAGGTGGGTAACTATTACGTGGGCAGGTGGAGATGCAGGAGAAGCTCTCAGATGTGCTGGGACAAGTGGATACCTTTGAAATTATGTTAAGTAAACCCTGGGTTGTGCAAGCAGTTAAGTGCTCAACTACTAGCCTGAAGGTCAGCAGTTCAAAGCCACCCACAGGCTTCTTGGAATCCAGGTCTGGTGATCTGTTTCTAAAAGGTCACTGCCTTAAAACCTTATGAAACAGTTCTGATTTGCACACAGGAGGGCTCCATGAGTTGGAATCAAATTAACGGCAACTAACAACCAACTGAAGGCAAATAGCATAGTGGACACCGGACCCTCAGCAATCTAATGGCCATCTTCACCTAGGGCTCCTTGCCATACTAGCTCTTTGGTAGGAGAGCAGCCCTCACCTCCACTCTGGGTGGTATGCCGGGCTTCCTCCTGGCATACGGGCATACTTCTAACTCTCTTCTCCTAACATCATTATTGTGTTTCCTACCCTATGGCCTTGGATTCTTTCTTTATATGTATTCATAGAGCTGCCTTCTTCCCAGACCGCTTTGTGTCACACTTGATGCTGTGAATTCCTTTTCATTCACTCTTCTCGCTGTGAGATGGCCCGCACTGTCATCGACAGCCAGTTTCACATGGTCTTCCGCCTGTACCACATCCATCGGAATTTTCACTTGCTGCCAACTCCCCTTCTCCCTACGCTTCTCCCTACCCTTCTCCCTACGCTTCTCCCTACCCTTCTCCCTACGCTTCTCCCTACGCTTCTCCCCACGCTTCTCCCACCCTTCTCCTTACCCTTCTCCCCACAGTTTGCTTTTGTGGCCGCCAAGACTTATCTTTTGAGGAACAAAACAACCTCTGCTGACATTTCCTCTCAATGTGCTTTTCCTGACTCACCCTGAGGGTCTGGCTCCGCTTAATGGATTTATTTCTGTTAATATGGTTTGAACCCACCAGCCATCCCTCAGAAATCCAATACAGGGTGATTCAGAACGAGTCAGAACTGACAAGACAGCACACAACAGCAACAACTACAGCTATTTTTTGCACATCATGTGGTGAGTGTTGGGTTTATTGTCGATCTCAATGCTGGGTAGACCCGCATCATCACTCCAGATGAGGTGCCTTCCATTTGTGGACTTTAAAAATATTCATTTAATCTCCATGCCCTATCCCATTGTCCCCCTGACTGTGGCAGCTGTTCTCATGAGTGTGCTGCGCTTGAGTTAGTGTTCTTGTGAAGACTTGAGTGAATATTTTTGTGTTCGTTTCTTCACTTTAGTATATGCCAGTGTTTAAAGCATGAGAAAACCATTTAGAATTTTTTTAAAAAATTGAATTTATGAAGACAGAAGAGACTATTTTACTCTGGTGTAGAAGGGTATTTTAAATATCTGCTGTGATAAATTCGAAGGAAATGACTATAATTTCTTGGAGAGAATAGTGGCCTGGGATGTTAAAGACATCAGCCTTTGTACACTAATCACAACTATTTGATGGAAAGTTATTTTAAAAATAAATATTGGAATGGGGCACAGAGAATGACTGCTTTTGAAGCTGTCCCCCTAGAAATCGGGCGAGGTTTGGAGTTACTTTTCAGGGCACAGAACTCTTGAATCTTAACCAGGAAGCAGTTGTGAATTGGAACAGAGGAGCAGATAAAACAAGCTTCAGTGGATGTAGGGGATATGAATACATGTGCTTAGACCTGAGAATGAACTGGAATAATTTTTCAGGCAACATTGTTAAGCTGTGTGGGAGAGTGGTGAATAAGCTTTTCAGCACAGGGGTGAATGTTTTACATTGAACCCCGATGGTGGTCATTTAATTTTCATTAAGATCAGCAAGAGTTTTATAAGCTAAATGAAGAGGAATGTTAAAATATTCCAAGTTTATACCTCAGCCCCCAGTATATAAAATTTTAGGATAAATGAAAGCTATGGTGTGGAATACATATATAAATTGCTATATAAACAAGAAAGATGAATGAAATGTTTGGATAGGACAAGGGTCTGGAATATAGTTTATCAAATTGAATGAAAGAGAAAAGAAACAAGATAATAATCATATCATGCTCAATATATGATAGATCAAAATAATATCATTTACTCATTCTATTATTTTTGTTGCGACTCTGCTATGTCTTGGGCACTATTCTAGTAAACTGGATGATCAGTAATCCAAAATGATAGATTAGCTAGTGTACAGCTGAAAGCTCTAATGGAGAACAAGGTTCAGTAGCTCAATGAATTGAGAGCAATGTCTCTGCTATGAATTACTTCTGAAAGGTAGGTCAGCAGGGAGCCATGCTTCTTGCACTCATTCAAGCGTCTGTTTTCCTCAAGTCAGTGCTCCATCCCGACTTGATAGTGTTGGTCTGCGTGACCTGAATGTGAATGGCCTCCAAAGCCAGGCTCTACTAAGCAGGAAAGGGAACATGGACATTGAGAAACGGCCAGTCATCTTATCATTCTGGTCTGAAAGTTGTACACGGCATTTATGTGTATAGTTTTTCAGGAAAAACAGAGTTTCACAATCACATCCCTTTGTAAAGGACTCTGAGAACCGTTGTGTGGCTTGGCAGCTAGGTGCTTGGCCACAAGTCTACTTCTGTGGAAGGAAGGTAAGACAGATTCTGAGGGCAGCCAGTCTTCCAGTGTATTGATTGATGTATACATATATTCGTAAATTCAGGAAAAACCATCGTAGCTTCATGGTGAGTTGGAGTTCGGGTATAGGCATTCTTTCACTGTTTGGCCATGTCAGGATAGATGAAGATTTCATAGTTTCTGAAGGACACGTGTGAGTGTTTCTTATAACTGCCACCATCATCACCACCACTATTCCACGACAGCCGTTTCCCTGTGTTTGATCTCAATCAACTGCATACAGTTTATCCTCTATCCTCTGCTATTTACTGTGCCTGTTTCATCTTCTCTTTCTCGTTTTAGATGAACAGTTTGGACTTAAAACCCCACAATGGGAGACTTCTGAAAAAGCTATGTTTTACAACGATGTGATGGGTGAAGACACAAGATGTGGTTCTTGGTGTTCCATTGTGGAAGAACTGTGGCAAGATGCTGCTCAGGGAAAGAAAGATCAGGAAAAGAAAATTAAACCTGTGCATCTTGCTGCTTTCCCCAACAAGCAGAGACTGAATATAGAGAAAGATTGTGACTATAAGGGTGCTGGGAAAATCATGGATGTGAAGTCCAACCTTGTTACATCACAAAAACAGCCTCCTAAATCTTGCTCATTTGCAAAAACTTTGAAGCATAGCCTTGAAGTATATAGTCAAAATAAAAGCAATGCCACCAAACACCTTGATAAGAACATTGCATCTAGTTGTCTTTTAACCCATAGCTCTTCTAATAGTAGCTTTAAGAACACATACACAGGAGAGAACTTCTGCGAAGGTAATCGATGTAGAAAAGTTCTCAGCCATAAACAAGCACTCACGTATCATCACATTCATACTGAGGAGAAACCCAATGAGGGCACCGAGTATGGGAAGGTCTTCAGCCAGCAGAGAATTCAGAGTGTGGAAAACCTCCGTGAATGCAGTAAATGCGGAAAAGCTGCCACTCTTAAACCACACCTCGGTGTTTATGTGTCAGGTCACATGGGTGACTTACCTTATGTATGTACCGAATGTGGGAAAGTCTTCATCCAGAAGTCAGAATTCATCACACACCAGAAAACGCACACTAGAAAGAAACCCTATAAATGCCTTGAGTGTGGAAAAGCTTTCTGCCAGATGTTGTCTCTCTTCAGGCATCAGAGAACTCATACTAGAGAAAAGCTCCATGAATGTAGTGAATGTGGGAAAGGCTTCTCCCAGAAATCAGACCTGAATATCCATCGGAATATTCACACTGGAGAGAAGCAATATGCTTGCAGTGACTGTGGGAAAGCCTTCTCTCAGAAGTCGACACTTAGCATGCATCAGAGAATCCACTCAGGAGAGAAGTCCTACGTGTGTGTTGAATGTGGGCAAGCCTTCATCCAGAGGGCACACTTGATTATACATCAGAGAACACATACTGGAGAGAAACCGTATCAGTGCAGCAGCTGCAGAAAGTCCTTCATCTCCAAGTCCCGACTCCACGCACACAACCGGATTCATACAGGTGAGAAACCATATGAATGCAGCGACTGTGGGAAAGCCTTCTCTCAGAAGACACACCTCAACATACACCAGAAAATCCACACTGGAGAAAGACAGCATGAGTGCCGTGATTGTGGGAAAGCCTTCAACCAGAAATCGATACTCATCATGCACCAAAGAATTCACACCGGAGAGAAGCCTCACCAATGCAGTGACTGTGGGAAAGCCTTCATCTCCAGGGCACAACTCAGAGAGCATCAGCGAATTCACACGGGAGAGAAACCCTATGTATGCACTGAGTGCGGGAAGGCCTTCACCGGCAGGTCAAATTTCAATAGACACAAGACAACTCATACCGGAGAGAAGTCTTATAAATGCAGTGATTCTGAGAAAGGCTTTGTTCAGAAGTCCATTCTCAGGGTGCGTCAGAGTGTTCATAAATGAGATGCACTCTGATAAAAACTTCTCATAAGTCACATCTAATAACTACATTATAGAAGACATGCTACGGAAAAACTTCTTGGGGGCACTGGGTGTGTAAATATATCACAAAGTCACATTATTGTACTTAAGGGAAACCATTCAGCAAAGGAAATTTAAGGGTACACTGAAAGTAGGGAGTTGTTCATATTTTGCACTAGCCTTGCTACAGATGATAAAATTCAGTGCTGATCGCAGATAATCCCTGGATTATAAATGTCCGGTTTATAGACAGCTCCTACTTGCCCTTTATGGAGTCCTGGTGTGGTGCTGTGGGTTAATGCACCAGACTGCAAAGCCATTTGAACTGAAAGGTCGGCGGTTCAAGCTCACCAGCTGCTCCTTGGAAACCCTAAACAGGGTCACTATGGGTGGGAATCGACTCGACGGCACTTAACAACTTGCCCTCGACCAAAACCAAACCCAGCTGTCCATCATTGAGCTGATTGCAACTCAGCGGCCCGGTGTACGGTTTCTGAGGCTATAAATCTTGATTGGGAACAGAAAGTCTCATCTTTAGTCTGCGGAGTGGCTGGTTGGTTTAAACTTCCAACCTTTTCACTAGCAGTCCAGGTTTCTAGCCTATAGTTTCACTTGTCCTTTAATGTGATGTAAATTTGCCCTCACTAAACCAATTGCATCAACCCCTACTCACAACAAATTCTCCATCATAAGCACCTTCACTTGGTGCACATGCAGATTTTTAAATCACTGAAAATGTTTTGAGCCTTTTCTTGCACTGAAGTAAAACTAAGTAAGCACTGTACGCACCTATTCTGACTTACCTACACATTCTTAAAGACAGACCCAGGAACAAATCTTTCATACCTCAAGTACTACCTGTGATATATTGGAAAAAACATATAGAAAGTATTAGAAGACATATTGTAACCAGATCCTGGAAATTTTGTTGGATACTATATTAATGATAACCCTGTTTACTGTGGAATGTTAAATTAATCATAAATGGTAGCAACCTGAACTATATAGTGTCAGTTCTGTAGTTACTTCAGAATTTACTGCATAACAGGAGCTCTGCGTGGGCTGTACGTACTAATGCAGGAATTGAGGAACAAAAACCATAGTGCAGACAGAAAACAAGAGGCTAAATGGGAGAATTAAGTACCCTTATCAATAGCAAATACATTTAAATGCATCAGACTCTACTTTAAAAGGCAAAGATTGGCAGAATGGGTTTAAAAACATGTCAAAATGGTGGAGACCACACAAGTGTACATCAATATATAAATGGATGACGGTCTGAGACAACATGGATGAAACGAAAACATTCTAAGTGAAATAAGCCAAAACAAGAAATGACCAGTGGATTCAGGGTTTCTGTTGTTAAGTGTCATCAAGTCGATTCTGACCCATAGCGACCCTGTGTAGGGTTTCTGAGGAGCCGCTGGTGAGCTTGAACCACCGACCTTGCAGTTCAAACGGCTTTGCAGTTTGACGCCTTAACCCACAGCGCCACACCAGGAGTCCGGAGTTTCTGTTGGGGGTGATGACAAATTTTGGAAACATACCACATCATGAACATAATTCATACCTCTGAATTATACATTAAAAACTGATAGTCATACATATTTTATCACAAAACGTAGCTTAAATCTAAGAGTCCTGGTGTGGCGCTGTGGGATAATGCACCAGACTGCAAAGCTGTTTGAACTGCAAGGTTGGCGGTTCAAGCTCACCAGCTGCTCCTTGTAAACCCTATACGGGGACACTATGGGTCGGAACTGATTCGATGGCACTTAACAACAACAACAACAACAACAGAGCTTCATATTTTTTTTAATATGAATGAATTTCACCTGAAAAAAAAAAATCCAAGAAAATAAAACAGAATGGGGATAGGAAGTGGGTAGAGGTAGAGATGAGATAGGAGTAGCAGGTTGTTGATATTTGTTGAAACCAGGACATGGGTGTATGGATATTGATTATATTATGATCTCTACTGTGTATATAAGGAGCTCTGGTAGCGTAGTGGTTACGAATCGGGCTGCGAACCTTAAGGTCAGTGGTTCGAAACTACCAGCCGCTCCGCGGGAGAAAGATGAGGCTTTCTACTCCCGTAAGGATTTACACCCTTGGAAACCCTGTACAGGGTCGCTATGGGTCGGAACCGACTCGACGGCACTTAACAACAACAACAACAACAACTGTGTATATATTTTTAACTTCCCACAATTAAAAGTTTAAAAAAAATTTTTTTTCCCCAAATGCAGTTATTATTGCATCTGGGCAGCAGAACAGTGGGCAGGCTCAGGAGTCAATTTCTTGGACTTGATTCCTGGTTCCAATCTATACTCTAAATATAACTCTTGTCCTAACTTCCTCTTCTCTAAAAGGAAGATTATAATATTATCTATTTTACCAATTTCGTTTGAGAAGTAAATGGGCTAGTGTGTGTTCAGCACTTAGAATTAATTGTGCATGAGAGAACTAGTACGTGATGAAATTTGGTTGGAGCCTGTGTCTCTGATAGCGTAGTGGTTACGAGTCGGGCTGTTAACCTCAAGGTCAGCAGTTCGAAACTACCAGCAGGTCCACAGGAGAAAGATGAGGCTTTCTGTCACTATGAGTTGGAACCTACTCCACGTCACACCATCATCATCATCATCATCAGTAGATGTGTGTGGTGAAATTTTACTCCACTGGGAATCTTTTCTAGATGGATGAAGATTTCTAGGTGTGAACACAAGCAATCCTACCTCCAGGGCCCCCTTTAAAAAGGGTAGGGGACCAATACAGGCTGGTCAGAAGCCTGGTCTGAGGATGTTTCTAGAAATGAGGTTTCTCATGCTGAGTAATGTGCAAGGCTTTGGAGAGCACATCTGCTATCTGTCTGTGTGTCTCATTGTTTCCTGATAGCTGTTGGTAGATGCAGTCAAGTTGGTTCCTTACTCATGGTAACGCTCTGTGCAATGAAATAAAACACTGCCTGGTCCCACACTATCATCATCATGATTACACTCTCTGAGCTTATCTTTGCAGCTACTTTATCAATCCATCTCACTGAGGATCTTCCTCTTTTCCACTGACCCACTACCAAACATGATGTCTGTCTCCAGGGATTGGTCCTTCCTGAAGTCTGGCCATTCTGGCTTCTAAAGAGTCTTCTAACGACTTCTAAGACATTTGTTTATTCTTCTGGTAGTTGGTGTATTCAGTATTCTTCACCAAGACTATAATTCAAATACATCAATTATTTTCTGGTCTTCCTGTCCAGCTTTCACAAACATTTGAGACTATTGAAAATACCATGACTTGGGTCAGGCACACCTTAGTCCTCAAAGTGATGTCTTTGCTCTTTAACACTTTAAAGAATTCTTTTGCAGCAGATTTGCCCAGTGTGCTAAGTCATTTAATTGCTTGACTACTGATTCTATTTGTCCTTGATTTTGGATCCAAGTCAAATGAAATCCTTGACAACTTTAGTCTCTTTATTGTGATATTGCTTATTGGTCCAGTTGTGAGGATTTGTTTACTTTGAGGTATAATCCACATTGAAGGCTGTAGTCGGTCTTCAAGTCCTCTTCGATTTCAACAAGCAAAATTGTGTCATCTGCATAGCACAGCTGTTCATGAGTCTTCTCCAATCTTGATGCCGTGTGTTCATCATATAGCCCAGCTATTTGGATTATTTGCTCAGCACACAGGTTGAAAAAGTATGGGGAAAGGATACAGCCCTAACATGAACCTTTCCTGATTTTGAACCATGCAGTATCTAACTCCTTGTTGTATTCGAACAACTCCCTCTTGGTCTGTGTACAGGTTCTGCCTGAGCACAATGCAATGTTCCGGAATACCCATTCTTCATAATGTTGTCTGTAAGTTGTTATGATCCACACAGCCAAGTGCCTTTGCATAGTCAATAAAACACATAAACATCTTTCTGATATTCTCTGCTGTTGGCCAAGATTTCACATCTCTTCTGAATTCAGAGTGAATTTCTGGCAATACTCTTTGATGGATTGCTCCCTAAGTAGGGTTATAATTTCAGTGACTTTGACCCAACTACTGTCTCACTTGGTGAAACCAGGAATAAGGACTAGACATAGACTTGTGTGGTCTGGGAAGACTCAGAGGCCTCTCTGAAGTGGCAAAGGGGCTTTTCTGTGATATATGCAAAATAATATGCTGTTGTTGACTCATCGTGACCCTGTTTAAGGTTTCCAAGGAGTGGCTGGTGAGCTTGACCACCAACCTTACAGTTCAAACTGACTTAAAGTCCAGCGCATTAACCCACAGCGCCACACCAGGACTCCAAAATAGTATGGTATCAGAGCTCAATTAGAAGATGAAAGAAGAGGAAAAAAAGAGTAATCTGATACAATTTGATGAACTTGACCTACACCTAAGGATGCAGTAGCTCAAAAGAGGGAACAAATCTTTACAGCAAGGATCATTCCCACCCCCTCCATACACAGAGTAGACAGGGATGGGCAACTTAGACATTGGCTACCCAAAATGGGGGGACTACAAAGGCAAGAAAGCTTACAAGCTTTCAAGAGGGAACCTAGATCCAGAGGGCCTGGAAGAAGGTAGAATCTCCACTGAGTAGTATGCAATCTGTCTAGGCAGGGCTGATGAAATGAAATGCGGATAGGTCTCTTGTGATATAATAGTGAATAATTGTTATCAGGAATGATTGTGAGGGTTGTAAATGTAAAGGTAGACGTTTTGTAGCAAGGAGGGGAGTGATATACTTTATAGTCTAGGAGCGGAGGTCCCTGGGACCATCAAGGGAGAAGAGCAGAGAGCGGGACCCTACCCAGAGAAGCAGTGATGCCTGAGATGGAGGCAGAGAGGATGACATGGAGAGTTAGAGCAGCTGGGGACTTTAGACCCAGAGAGGGAGAGGGGCTATGTGATGGTGAGGGTGGGGGGTGGGGGTGGGGAGCGGGGGCAGGCTTGCAGGGTATACCCTTTGATTGGTTGATGATGCATGGAGGGGA